AAAAAAAAAAGATTCTTATCTCCAACAAACCACTAGAAAACTGGAAGTGGTGCTGTGGTTCAAGCAGTAGAGCACTCACCTTGAGCTGAAAAGTGCAGGGACAGTACCCAAGCCCAGAGTTCAAGCCCCACTACTGACCAAAAAAAAATAAAGGGGGGGGGGCTGGAAAGGTAGCTCAGTGGTAGAGCGCGTGCCTTGCATGAATGAGGCCCTGGGTTCGATTCCTCAGCATCACATAAGCAAAAAGAAAAAAGCTGTAAGTGGCCCTGTGCCTCAAGCGGTAGAGCGCTAGCCTTGAGCTGAAGAGCTGGGGGACAGTGCCCAGACCCAGAGTTCAGGCCCAAGACCAGACCAAAAAAAAAAAAAAAAGGCTTCAATGACCCTGGAAGAAGACCCTGGATACTGTAGAATCACAGGGGAATGATCCATTTGGACAGTCACATGGAACTAACAGTAGGTGAGGCATGATGTTGAGAATCCACTATGCTAGTTTGGGGATTGTTTTAGGGTCCAGTGCTAATCCACTCCTCCCCCTTTAATACTCATACATATTTTAAGTATATTAAATAGAACTGGCATATGATGGTGGATGCCGCCATTAGGGAGATGCTGACTAAAAGAACTAGTAACAATTTAACATCTACCTTAAAAATTTTAATAAATAAGCATATATATGATATGCAAATAAAGATAAGATGCTCAAGATATTTTGGGAATTACTGAAGTTGGAGACATACTAATATAACAATGAACTATGAGGCAATTATTCTCAGATCAGTGGCAGTGACAAAGTGAAGAACTATGTAAAACAAACCTAAATCCAAAATGTAAATAGTCTGGGTCTGGGTCATGGGTCATAAATTATGTTAAGTTGGCTCATGTTGAGGTTAGCTTGGTCTTGGAGTACAGGCACCATGGAATGGAGAGGCTTGACAACGAGACCGAGAACCAGATACTGGTGATCAAACCCACTTAGCATGAAATATAGCCCAAAAATTCAAGAGCACTTACTTTCCTTTTTTAATTGTGTTCCTGCCAAGCAGTGGATCGAGTACTGGATCTATTGTCTCCTCAAGATTTTCAATTAAGATGACATCGCCAAAGGCCAAAGCTGTTTCAATGGCTTGCAAGAACCTTCGAATTCAGAGAGGAATGAGATCATCAAATGTAAATAAGCATAGGAAAACTGTTCAGAATTATTTATCAGATTCAATTTTATTTAACATGGAAATTTTAAATGGGAGAAACATGGAGAAGTCATATTTTTCTCTAACAATCTAGATTAAACAGAAATGAGAGCAGATTTAAGACAATTTTGCTATCATATTTTCCAAGTGTTAATTAGTTGCTTTTAGTAGTAACCAATGGTTGAAACAGTATAAATAGCTCAATATTATAAATTCAAAATTATTCAGTGTACCACTCCCTTTTTGAGATAGACTCTCTGTAGCCCAAGGTGGCCTCTCACACACCTTTTTGCTATTGTGTCTTGGGTGCTGGGATTAGAAGTGTATACTACACACCTGGCTAATGATTACTTTCTTACTATTATTGCTATTGTTTTTGTTATTATTTGCAGTATTTTAGATCGAAGTCAGGTCCTTGTTCTTTTATTTTTATTTTTTTCTGATCCTGAGGCTTGGACACTGGGGCCTGGGTTCTGTCCTTGAGCTCCTTTTGTTCAAAGCTGGCACTGTACTACTTGAGCCAAAGCACCACTTTCGGCTTTTTCTGTGATTTACCTAGAGATAAAAGTTTCACAGACTTTACTGCCTAGGCTGGCTTCAAACCACAATCTTCAGATCTTATCCTCCTGAGTAGCTAGGATTATAGGTGTGAGCCACCAGTGCCTGGCCTCCTTGTTCTTTTTAGGCAAGTGCTCTACCCTTAGAGTGACATTTCCAGTACTACTGGGTCCTTTTTAGGTAACAATTAAAATTAAATGCTTTGTTTTTTTTTATCAGTCTTTTACTCTTAAATTAAGATCAGACATGATAAATGGTGAATTATCACTTTATTTCATTCTTACTCTCCAAAAGGAGTCTCTCCTTATTTTGCTTTAAGTGCAAAAAGGAAATGGAGTCAAGTGAAATAAAAGCAGGCCCAAGAATTACTTTACTTAGCATTAAATGAACACCAACTTTGCACAGGACAGCTCTTCCCTCAAAGGATCCAGTGACAGAGAGTCTGAGTAGACTCAGTTCTCAAAAGTGATATATGATCAAGTGCACATAGCTATTGAGCCTTTGTGATCCTCTCCTAAGAGAATCCTTTGGTCTGTGTGAATGTTTAGAGTCTTGTTTAACTTATCATGTCCAAGTTTAATTTTTTATTTTTCACCATCCATTGTGTTTACTTGTAGATAGATAGGCACATTCTGAGTACTACAAATGAGTGAAACTATGTAACCTATGTTTTCTTGGGTCCAGCTTACTTCACTTAATATAATTTTTTTCTGAGTAGTGTTTATCAAAATGAACTCCAAAGTTTTTTGTCATTTTCCTTTTTGTTGTTTTGTTTTTCTCCTTTGTTGCTATTTTTATTTCTGATCCTTTTGTCTTGTATGTAAGCTAATCTTCTTTGGGGAGGGTAAGGGGGAGTACAGAAATGGTGGGAGAAAGGGTGAACAAATGCATCAGTGATAGTCACTAGACACTGTTGAAAATGAAATATACAGCTTGTGGGGGAGAGGCATCAGGAGGCAAACACTGGGAGAAAAGGAGGAAGAGGTGACATTATTTAAAAGGAAACGTACTCATTACTGGACTTATATAACCGTAATCCCCTCTATACAACACCTTTACAATAAAATAATTTTTTAAAAAAGTGATCAATGACTAAGAGGTCAGGCTTTCAAGGTTGGATCTGTAACATACTGAGGTCTTACTACAGGCACAGAATATATCAGAGACAGAAGTATGAGCTTCAGTGAACCTGTGAATGCAGTTATTCTTGTTAGCGTACCATTTACCAAACAATCTAAATAAGGAATGTGCTGTATTTCCACTTTTATCATTAGAAATATACCTCTCTTTTCTCTTAGATACAATGTTTGTGCAAATCTTTAGTCTGATTTTTTTCATCATTTGGATGTTGCCTGACACAAAATAACTTTTTAACTGAGATAGTGTGTGAAAACTGAGCAGGTAAGTAAATAAGGGGCACCAAACTGCAAAATTTCAAAGATCTCTCACAAATGCAAGACTTTAGAAATCAGACCCACTTCCTAACAGCCTAACACCAAACCAATCCCTTGGGAATTCACATACCCTTTCTGGCCTAAATGCGTGACTTTCAGGTCAGTTCCGTATTTATTCTTGATCCACTTAATTCCCTGTTGTTGAGGATCTATCATCAGGGGCCAGCGCTCGCAGTGTGTTAGGATGACAGCATTTTCAGTTGACATTCTGTCACTGGGTAGCCCTGCGTTATTCCAGGTGGCAATGGTAGCATCATCTGTCAACATGCCAATCAAGTCCAGGCCCTCCGTGATTGGGATGGCAACCTTCAAAATCAAAGTCAAACACAAAAAACTGGCAGTGCAAAAAAAAAAAAAAAAAAAAAAGCTAACAAGGTAGAAAAGAAAATGAAGCCAAAGCCAAGAGAAAGTGATTCGAGGAGAATGCATGCCAAATATCTACAGATTCTCAGAAGCTAAGTACAGCTTGCATCTGAAAGACTATTGCACCTGATAGATCCAGTATTCAGAATCGTGTCAACTGTGGCACTCAAAATCTAGTTTATTAACTCCATCGATTTGGCTTTCCTGAAAGGAACTTTGTTCTACACATCTGTAACTGTTTTAACAAACAGAGAGAATTTAGGCCCTGGGGAAAATGGCAGGGACCCAGATACTTATTTACTGATGGAGCAACCACTCACTCCACATAAGCAATGGTAAATGTAGTATGTGGTTAAGGCATGTCCTCTGTTTCCACAGGGCAACACTACAGGCATGGATTTCCCAGGATGGGGTAATGAAGCAATCTGCTGATCTAAGGAACTCAGAACATGACCTCTATTCTCAGAAGGAATTGCCTGGGCCTAGAGCATTGCAAAGTGAGTTTTTGACAGACAGATGAATAGAAAGAGAAAAGGAAGAAGAAAGAGAAGAACTAAAGAGAAAGAGAACAATCAAATGGGAGACTTATAAACTTACTTTAAATATATAACAATATATTTATAATATATTTAAAATAAATATATAACATTATTATATTACACACACACATACACACAATTCATTTGGTTACTTTTAGAAGAAGTGTCCTTCTGTTAGCAAAGGATGTGTAGTTTTTATTTTCAAGTTCTATTTAACACAACTTGAAACCATTGACTTCTGAAGCTAAAGGGACTCAAATAAAGGACCTCTGTACATTTCCCAAAATTTAACAGCTCAGATTTCTTGAATACCTGCTCTATGCAGAGTAGAACATTGGGAATTCAGAGACAAATTACCCAAATCCACCTCTTCTTTTGTCTGGTCAGTGAAACCTAGTTTCATAAATAAAGCCATTTCAATATGAATAAAATCTAGTAACTGGCACTACAAAAATAGCATTAATGTTAGGACTACTTTAAAATAAAGTTTTAGAACTTTACTTATACTATTATAGTCATTGTTGTTCTAGACCTCATAATAATAGGAAATTACTTCTTTTTGGTGTATGTGTTGATACTGGGGCTTGAACTCAAGGTCTTTGTACTCTTATTTGGCTTTTTCCCCTCAAGATTAGCTTTCTACCAACTGAACCACATATTTAGTTCCATGAAATTATTTCATCATGGAAGCCTGAAATTCCATGTACCTCTCTTGCCTTTTTCATGTGTAATGCTCTAACAAACAGCCTTAGGACTCCTAGATTGTTACCCTAGGTTCTTTTTTATTCATAGGTCCTTTTTATTGTGGAAAGTTATACATGATAACATTTGTCATGGTGACAATCTTAAGTGTATAGTTCAATATCATTAAATACACTCACAATGTGCACACTCTACTTCTCCAGAACTTTTTGTCTTCCTATGTGGAAATTATATTTAATAAACAATAAATCTCGATGTCTTTTTTCCTAGCCCCTAGCATATAATTTAAAATCATGTGTTTCCGAGAAAACATTAAAGATTGTTGTCTCTTAAGAGTTTTCTAATAGAGTTCCTTCCAAGGTCACCTTAAATATGTCCACAGGTCATCAATAAATGACATGTTTGGTTTAAAGATTTATAAATCACACGGATTGTAGTCACTTGCTAAGTAGTTTGTTTATAAACCATTAGAACCCGTAGGACACCCTCCTGACAAGGCAAATGTACCTCAAAGATGGCTCCCTACAGAAAACACCCTATTATATATTGGGAAGAAACAATAACAGTTGCTTCTTATGGGGACAAAACTAGAAAATTAAAGTTAGCATTGTTCAGCACCTTTAGCTCTTACTGCCAACCTACTTACTACATGTCCACCTGGATAGGACACCTCCTTCCAACGTCAGCCCAAGTCAATCTGGAAATAGAAGCACAGAAGCAACTCCGCAATGGAAACCCAAATCTCACAAGGACCAGCACTTGTTATGGTTCACACAGCACTTTCTGCCAGGCATCTTAGGTGCAGAGAACCACCTGCCAGAGGGATTTCATATCCACAATTGGGAGTAATTTCCTTCTTATAGTTCAGCAACGCTAAAAGTGGGTGGGAGAAATAGGCTGGACATGTTTTAGGGTCTGGTTCAATTTGACTAGTGGTTGTGTACTGAAGAGAAAAGGAGAGAGGTCTCTGATGACAAAGGTTACCCTGGGAGAATCATGGTCTTGGTAAAACAGAAGTTCATGGTTAAATTGAATACACATTTAGCATATATTATCAGAAAACTGCCATTTTGCTTTGAATGTTGTGACACTCTGGGTATCAATTAGCATTGCTAAGCATCTTCAGTTCCCACAGCCACCCAACTACATGTTCATACAGATATGACTCACTTCTTTTTATCATTTTAAATTTTATGATCTCTTCCAAGCAAAATGACATCTTCATAAAAACATGTTTGTTTCAACAAGTAGGAAAATACAAATCAGTTCATGCACAGCTTTGAAGAAACACATGTAGAAATGATGTCATACCAGCAATTAAAGACCCATTTAAAAAACATTTCTAGTTTAAAAAAAAAGTAAAATGACTGGTAGCATAACTTCACGCTATTGATACTTTCTTCAAAGTGAGAATTCTAACAAGATGACAATTTGAAGTTAAAAGTGAATTTCCTTAGTAATTTTGGAGAAAATGCGAATATTGCATTAATGTCTATGAGTACAGAAGGCCAAAAGGAGGGCCACTGTCAGCATGAAGTAGTCATAGGTGACTGATAAACACAAGACTCAAGGCTAGAGATGAGACAGAGAAAAATACAGGTAATAGAAGTATACAATTAGCACTTTAGAAACTCATAATGCAATAAAAATTGGAGAAATTCAGCAGCATTCCTTATCCTCTTACATAAATATATATTTCACCATAAAAACATTAAATAAGCAGGGTGTTTGTGGCTCATGCCTGTAATTCTAGCTATTTAGCAATCTGAGATCTGAGGATCATGGTTCAAAGCCATGAGGAAAATACAAAGATTCTTATTTCCAATTAACCAATAAAAAGCTAAAAGTGGAGCTGTGGCTCAAATGGTGGTATATCAGCCTTGAGTAAAAAAGCTAAAGGAAGGGCTCTGTTCAAGTTCCAGTACTGGCACAACACAAAACATAAAATATGCTTGTACATTTAAAATACTAAAATAATCAAATATTTGATAATTGTTATTGGAATAGCTTTTCAAGAATAAATGTAAGAGGTAATATCTTTTAAGAAATCTTCAATATAAGAATGAATATAGTGCTCAGTGCGAGTGGCTCATGCCTGTCATCTTAGCTACTTAGGAGGCTAAGATCTGAGGATCATAGTTCATTTCCTGCCAGCCTGGGCAAGAAATCCTATGAGACTCTTATCTCCAATTAACCATCCCAAAAGCCAGAAGTGGAGCTATAGTTCAAGTGATAGTGTACTAGCCTTGAGCAAAAACAGTTCAGAGACAGCAGCCAGGCCCTGAGATCAAGCCCTAGGGGCCTGCCCAACCCCCCTCCCCCCCACACACAGAGTTTTAGAACCATATATACATTATGTTTTGTGTGTATCAGTTGTGGGGCTTGAACTCAGGGCCTGAGCACTGTCCCTGAACTCTTTTGCTCAAGGCTAACACTCCATCACTTTGAGACACAACTCTACTTTCGGTTTTCTGGTGGTTAACTGGAGATTCTTTTCTCCAGCGAGGATGTGTACATCATCCGGAAAACAGGGCCTGGAAGTCAGGTAGTCTGAACTCCTATTCAGTTGTTCAAGGAGGATCTTAAATGAGATAGTTTCAAAGATTCCAAGTATTTGTTTTTACTTTGCTTATGGGTTTGGGTTTTCGAATTTAGAATAAGCTATTCTTAAGTCTATACACAATAATACAAATAATAATAACAATAATACAATAATACAAATTAATTTTTGTTATCTTTATAAAATATACCTTCCAAGTACAATTCTATGTGATTATTTTTTAACTTGCCTCTTGAAATCATCATTAAAATAAGAAAAAGTAGCATCTACATTGAAACACATGAAGGTGCCTGCCATATTTGTGGTTTTGTTACCGGCATTTTAGTATGTTGCTTCCACACAGTGACAAGTCGAGGATCTGAACCTACCGTCTGTTGAAGAAATGGAATCCACTCGCAATCCACCAATTCCTGGCGATACTGCTTTGTGAAGGGCCCAACATAGGACACAAATGCAGCTGTAAGGAGAACGTCTCCACAGAGCATCTTCTCTTGAATTTCAAAGGACTTGATAGACTGACCCCAGCGAATCTTCTCTGACTGTGTGAAAAAATTACTCTCATGAAATTGCAGGGCAAACATCTGCTCCACAAAGGTTCAGTGCAATGGCCTTACAGTACAGAGTAAAGCTGTGGCCTTCTGGAAGACCAGAATGAAGCTGATTGGTGTGACTGCTATCAGCTACCATAGGTTTGAAACCCACAATCACCAAGTAGTTCTCCCAGTCTCTTCAGTACAGTTTGATATAACAGTAGTTCTCTGACATCCCCATTCTGTGGGGTTACCCTAACCTTAATCCTGAGAGCCAACTGCTTTAGTCAAGAATGAGTGGTAGTTTTGTGTGCGTGTGTGCACACACACGCATGCACACACATGCTATGTATGTGTGTTCATGTTGTGTAGCCTAGGTTGGCCTCCAACTCACCATCTTCTTCCCTCAGTTTCCTGAGTTCTGGGATTACTGGTATGGCTATCACACTGGCTATTATTAGTTTTTGGAAGTACTGGGGTTTGAACTCAAGAGACTTGTGCTTGTTAGGCAAGTGCTCTGCTGTTTACAACATGCCCTTTTTTCCCTAATTGTTTTTCATATAGGATCTTGGTGATTCTTTTGTCCAAGTCAACATCTGACTGTGATCCTTCTCATCTCTGCCTCTCAAGTAACTGGGATGACAGGCACAAGCCTGCCTAGCCTTCAGCTATTGGGATTCGTTATGTTAGCCTGGATGCTCTACATTCTGCACACTTTTCCACAATGGCACTAGTTTGCTCCAGGTTATTATTATTTTCCCTCACATATTGGCTATGGGCTGATTACAGACAAAGAAAATTGATAAACATCACTCATGTTAATTTATTAAACTTAAAACCTGAGAATCGTCTCTCCCAAACCTATTCAATAATCATGCTGGTAGTGAATGAATTCAGGCTATTTTTCTTATATAATCATTAAATCAGTGGAAGAAGCTATGAGCTGTGTAAAAAGATGAAAATCAGGACATGACTAGTCTTGAAGACAGTCTTGAAGTTCTCAGACTAGTCTTGAAGTTCTCCTATCTAGTGGGATGGTCATTCAAAACCTGACTTACAGGTTAAATATGTAGAGCCCTTAAATTGGATCTGAATACAACTACAATAACTACGTACGATTGACTGAACCACAAGTAGTCTCCTAATGACTTAATTCAAGTCATTCTAAAAAGTAATACTACATTTTAAGAATATGAAAGTTAACAGGGCCTAGAAAATCAGTGATTTGATAGGATAAGAAAAGAACCTTGCAGGATTTTTCTTTCCTCATGGAAAAAAGAAAAAGCCACAGAAAACATTAATGCCATGTGTCATACTAGATTAGAATGTCAGCTGCTTGTGAACCATCACAATATCCTGGACACTGTGATCATAAAATTAGCATAAGACACGTCTTGTTGCTTTCCTTTTTAAAGATCAGCACCCAAGTTAGCTGCATAATTAAATACTGAGGAACTTTAGCTCTCTGGTTCTCTCTTTCAGAATGTATAACCCCCTTCCCGAGTCACAGATAATATATCCATTAATTTCCAAGAGAAAGCTCTCATTTGCCTACCTTCCACCTTTGTTGTTTGTAAATGATATACAATAAAGTGCACCCACCTCATTCTCCAAAACAGTTTTGAAATTTGAAGATTTACTAAACATAGACTTATTGGCTATTGAAATAGTCAATAATTTCACTATACCACCCACACAACATAAATCATTACTGACATTGGCTAACAAGGGTTTAAGAGTTGGAACATGTCCTGTAATAAATTTCTAGACAGTTAAAAATCACTATAATTTTATTCTAATGCATTATAGATTGCCTGTAATGTCATCCTGGCTGGGGTGACCCATTTCTAATTTTGAACAGCTGTTCAGCTCAGGAGTTAGTTAATGATTAAATATAAATTGCCTGATTTATTAGTCTGAATGGCTCAGCTTCCAGGTCAATGCTATATAGACAAAATCATCAGTCTTGATGCTTTTCAGAAGTTAACTGTCTCCTGTTCTAGTCAGAAAGAATTTATCCTTGAAGGAAAAGATATGACACCTTCAATTAATCCTTCAAATATATATTTTTTTCCTAGTTAACAACATACAGGGATTCCCTCCCCCCATTTCATTGTGCAAATCTGCAGGAGTTAAGTGAAGCCCTTGGGAATCATGGGATAGATTAGAGGAACTGGTAAAGCCTGCTTCTGTCTCAATAAAACTTGAGAGTTCTGTAACATTCTATAACATTCTATTTTATTTCTGAAATAGTCTAGTTATATGACCTTTTCTCAGGAACCTCACAAATAGTAAATAGTAAAAACTACTTATATCTCACTGTGCTAAGTGGGGATGGTTGTAAATAGGAGTGGAAAAATTTCTTAGCTCAACTAAAAAAGTGGGCTTTCAAAGGCTTCTGAATTATTTTTAAATCTAGGAGGCTCCAAAACCTCATCCATCCATCCATCCATCCATCCATCTATCCATTCATCTGTCTGTCTGTTCATCCATCCATCCAATATCTACTAAAACCAAGATGCACAAAGCAGATGAAGTTCCTGTTCTTGAGAAGCTCTTAGGTGTGTGCTTGCTACACATGTGTGTGTATACCTGTGTGCAAAAGGACAAGTTAAGTCACTCACCTGTGGAGCCAAGAGAATGCTTTGTGGTAATGGGAATTTTATTTAGGCAGAGCCTCAAAGGAAGGAGGAGAAAAATAGATAACCTACTATATGCAGTATGGTTCATTGTCAGAGCCTCACACTTGGCTCTTGGCTGGTGTTCTACCACTTGAATCATGCTCTAGCCTAGCTTTTTACCAATCATTTTGGTTATGGCATCTCCAGGTCTTTTCTGTAGGGACTTGTTTCAAATTGTGATCCTTAGATCTCAGCCACCTGAGAAGCTAGGATTACAGACCTGAGTCCCTGGCACCTGGCCTTACATGGTTAATTGTATTTTCATTTAGTCACTCTTCAGAATGAATGATAATAAAGCCTGAACAAGCTTGTCTATGTCAGTGAGAGTTCCAGAGGAAAAGGTCTGCTTACCTCTAGTTCCTTGACAAGTCTGTTGGCTAGTTCAATGGTTTTATTGGTCTGGTTCACCTCCTCTTGGCACCGGACTTTCTCAGCTGTTGCTTTTTCAAATGAAGCTGTGAGTCTGCTCAGGTTTTGATCCAGATCCTGAATAAGAGTTGAAATGAATCCTTTAGAGTCATTTCTAGTGAAAGTTGAAACACTACAGCCATTGTAAAACGTCTGTTACCTTAAGGAAAATGGAGCAAACCTCCTTTTTCTCCTTTGCCTTTGGACTGTGTATATGATAAGGAAGGAGGAGGAGAAGACAATGGGGATGAATCCACTGGGGCCACCATGGCTGGGTCATACTGAGAGGATGAGGATGTGGGAAGATTCGCACATCTGGGAAGGACGGAGGTTCCATTTAGAGGGAGACCACGTTCTACCAAAGGCAGAGGAAAGGCTCATACAAAGAAGCAGGGTGGGACATAGGCAATCCTGCTATGAAATCTCTATGAGAAACTCTTCTCTCTCCAGACATGTGGTCACAGTGCCATCCATCCTCAAGTCACCTTTCTTTGGCTTTAGGTATGTGGAAAGGCCTTGCATTACTCATAGCCCAAAATGTCTTCACTTCTGTAACATCCTCATTACTTTTCCTTTGAACATAAACATATTCTAGTATTTACATGAAGCCATTAATAGACAAAAATATTTCCCCCAAAGGTTTTAGTCAAATTGACAGTAAGAGTTTTAACCATTGATTGGATATCATTTTGATAGTTACTTATGTTTACTCTAAACTTTTCCTACCAGTTCCTGGGTTTTATTGAACCACAAATGTCGTATTAGAGGAGTATGACTGATGGGACTGTAAAAGATTGTGGTCATGTCACCTGGGTGAGGAGTGATGATCAGGAAGGACTAATGGCACAAGTAGCCTAAAAGATAAGGATGAATTACTATGAGAGATATTCAAATTATCTATGCCATAAGGAGAAATTTGTAGAGTATTGACCATCTTACCTCAACAAATTAATCCCTTTCTGGTAACATTCAAGGAATCAGGGCCTTGGGCTCTGCTCTGGAACGTTGATGCCACTCCACTGTATCAATGCTTAAAGAGACTCTCTATTAGAAGAGGCCTCCTCCCTTTTTGCCAAATTGGCAAGCAATCATCTCAGATATAAGCAGGCCTTATTCCATAGGAAACTTGTATAGTTGCATGGCCCCTCTGAGTGCTAGAGTGTAGGCTACTGCAATGGCCTGGGATGTACCCCAGTCCCCACTGCTTTTCACACATCCATTGAGTAATCTCTCTACCTACATCATCTACATATCAGCCATTCCCAACCTCTGTTCCTGAGCCATGTTTTTTCTCAAACTTCTGTTCTGCCTGCTGGAACACCATGGAAATAAGATTTAGGAAGTACCACCTGTAGGCTGTACTGAGGGATGGACTGAAGACTTCAGTCCATTAGGATTAACAGTGGGGACAACAGAAACTCCTGTAGCTATTTTAAGCTGAAGGGAAGTATATAGTATATATAGTCAAGTTTGTTCTTAGAACACTGGATCAGAATGACAAGTTTGTATAAATGTAAATCGACATATGACTGGCACAATGGTAAATTCATAAATTCATTCATTCATTCATTTATTTTTGGGTCTGGCTGTGGAGCCTGAACTCTGGGCCTGGGCGCTGTCCCTCAGCTCTTCAGCTCAAGGCTAACGCTCTACCACTTGAGCCACAGCACCACTTCCGGCTTTTTTCTTTTTGCTTATGTGGTGCTGAGGAATCGAACCCAGGGCCTCAAGCATGCAAGGCAAGCGCTCTACCACTGAGCCACCTTCCCAGCCCCAGTAAATTCTTTTATATACTGTATGTGTGTGTGTGTGTGTGTGTGTGTGTGTGTGTGTGTGTATATATATATATATATATATATATATAATACAAAATGCTCATTTAATCCTATCTAAGCAGGGAATGCTATTATGACCCAGACTGAGGGCCCTTTACCTAAAATAATTGGTGCTTCAGATTTTGGAGTTTTTCAGATTTTGGGATATTTGTATAGACTTTACTGGTTCAGCATTCCTAAAGTGCTGAAATCCAAAATGTTGGATTTTGTATTTGTATTTTGGATTCTGGGTATTAGAATTAGAGGTATTCAACCTGTACCTATTTCACAGGTGAGTAAACAGAGGCTCTGAGCGGTTAACTTGTTTGCATGGGGTAAAACAGTAACAGGAGAGTCAGGATGCAGAGCAGTTAAGTCTGGCTGCAGGTGCCTCAATTTCCACCATGGTGAACTACCTTCTTCCTCCTAGTACCAGACTGTGACAATGTCTAATGTACAGAAGCCATGATTGTCTCCAATCATGTGTGCAACAGCTAAGAAATACTGGCACAATTAGTACATAGGTAGATACAGTCATGACAGAGAAGGTTTCTTTCTGTTTGGTAGGACTCTGATAGGCCCAGTCTGAAGGTGGGAAGGACCCTAAGGTGCAAGTGTGGGCCATGCTTTTTGGAGCCTCTTAAGCATTACAGTTTGCACTTACCACAAGCTTCCTCCTAATAGCCTCTAGTTTTTCTGTTGCTGCAGCCAGTTCTAGGTTTGTTTGTGCTAATGCCTGGCGTTTGGGCTCCACGTCACAGTAGACCTGAAAATCCACATGGGTATTAATTCAGAATGCAAAGCAGATGCAGAAGGAACCAAACAATCACTCAACATCTGTAAAATCTCTAATCCATGAATCAGTTTGCTGTTTGTTTCTGTGGAATAGAGCAGACATAGCCTTCTACATCCTCTCTGCTACTCTCCTAGTTACTTATTCTGGAAATTAGCATTATAGGTAATTGCATAAAATGTCATACAGTCAAATACCACTCAGATACTAAGATCAGTTTGTCACAAAATGTAGCATCACTAGAAATTGCAGTGTTCAGGAACTATATAACTAAAGGTGAGATGAGGTCTAGTCTTAGAGGCAGAAAGTGTGGAGACATTCTGTGAGCTCAGAAAGGAAACTTGGAGGAATCTACTCAGGAGACATCCCATAATAGCATCCACAGTTCTCTCAGTTCCTGGCTACCTTATGCCTGTGTTATTCAGATGGATGGTTTGAGAACTTGGGTGGACTAGTTTTCCTCCTGGGAGAGACAGAGACAGGAAATTAAATTTCATTTCCTATCTGACAGCAAAATAACACATTACTACCACCACTCTGGCCTAGCTCTATGCTCCTTTCCACCCAACGAACACATGAAACAGTGCCAATGAACACATGAAACTGCTCAGGCATTTAGGATGCAAGAGGCTAGACATCCACTGCTATATTCCCACACATCTACTCTGTGAAGCTCTAAGTACTATCAGAAAGAAAGATCAAAGAGCCCTGCTCCTGTGGTTCTAGAATAAAACCTGAAATCATTTAGGGAATGACACTGACTATATAACTGGCTTTTTCTGGATACTCCTGTATTTGAATAGTACATTCAACTCTCCAAAATGATGAGACATTCCTTCAGTCATTGCTCATACCCAGCTCCCCTTTATATCCAGTACTCTGCAAAAGACTTTGGACACAGTTGGCCAGTAATGAACTTTTCAGACCTAAATGCCTATGTGAAATGATGATCTATCTTTTTTTTTCCTTTTTCTTTTCTTTTTTTTTTTTGTGCCAGTCCTGGGGCTTGAACTCAGGGCTTGGGCACTGTCCCTGAGCTTTTTCTGAGTAGTTTACTGGAGATGAGTCTCAGACTTTTCTGCCCTGACTGGCTTTGAACAGCGATACTCAGATCTCAGATCTCAGCCTTGGCTCCCAGCAGATGATCTATCTAAATCACTGGAAGTGTAAAATTTGGCTCAGCAAACATCTGCAGCACAAATAAATGCTCACTTCTACATCTTCTATACCTATAATAAAGACCATATAAATTTTTTTGCTTGGTGAGCAGGGAATCAATTCAATATTAATTCAGCTTTGGAGATTTTTTTTCAGATCAACATAAATTAGATGGCTTCATGTAAATAGATGTATTTTATATAGGTAAATAAGTTTTCATATCTAACCAAATCAAACTAATTAATGTTCTTTGATCTACAGTAGCTAATCACCTTACCCTAAAAATGTTAATATTTCAAATACTCATTTTGTAGAATTCTGTTGTTAATATTTCAAATACTCATTTTGTTAAGAATTGTTAACTCTGACATACTCATGTCTTATTCCTAGATCTACCCTTCTTCAGGTAAAAAAAATGTCTCATTATAATTTTTGTGGCCCTAGAAATTGGTGTTTCATGGCCCTGTGCAGGTAGAAGATACAAAGCATCGGTTAAGGACTGATGATACCTCATAGAATTTAACAGTGTTGAGGATCCAAGCACAGAGGCCAGCAGCTGCGAAAGATTTGCTGCGAATCAGGTTTGGGTTGAACTCCGGGTCTTTCAAATACTGTTCATTCACCACTTTTAGACAGTTCTCTGGGATGTGCTCTTTGTCGTAGTGAATTAAAGCTTGCAAAAAATCGTCGACCTGTACAGCAGAGAGAGAGAGAGACTTATTGCCATGAACCCATTTGGGCTGCAGAGAAAATTCCAAGATCAAAAGTGAAAACTAGCTTTCAGGGCTCACAGGACAAAGGCAAAATTGGCAAGCTGCACTTATCCTACTGTTTGACTTTTCCAGTCTTTAAAGCATGAAGTTAGAATTAGCAATGGACACTTTTAAAACCTCTCCTATCCCAGGGTAAAATATTCAGTCCTTGCACAGGAGGGATTCACATTTTGAAGAAAAGAAAAGCAGAAAAGAAAAAAATAGCAAATATATACCCAAAAAGGGCCCTTTGCTTCACCATGTACATTAGAAACATTTTTTCTATGTAATTTTCTCCCTCCTACACTTAAATGCTTTCATAATTTTGGAAAGAATTAGCAATCTTCTACCTGCTGGCCACGACTTAGGAAGGCCTTAACCCTGAGCTCACTTCCAATTTTGCTAGCAAACCTTGTAAACCTAAAACACAATGGTAGATTTCAGTCAGCAGCTACAGAAATGGTTTCTTTACACATAAACCTCTTTTGCTATGAAGCATAACCACAGAAGGTGTCAGGACACCCAGTACATCTGATACCTTTCCCATGAAGATTTTAGCTGCTTTCCAACTTCGGTCTTTGGGCACTCGGCCTCGGGGAGCCAGAAGGACCATCACGGCTGCAGTGACGTTGGTGACTGCATTTGGGGGGTTGGGGAAAGCTTTCAACTCAGAGAGGTTCACCTGAGGAAGAGTACACATGTACGTATATACAACAGTCAGTCAGAAGGGCTCCGGCAAAGTGCTAAATTGCCTGGCCTGTCTCTAGAGTTCTCCCACCTCTCAACAACACACCAGTCTCATTGTGACAATTCCTTGACACTTGGGGACTTTACCCTGGGACCTCAGGGGGTTCAGTTGTTGCAGGATACTTCTCTGGTATTTTGGAAACATCATTACCCTTTTTTGCCTTTAATTTTTTTTCTCCAAACTGGTAATCCTAGCTACTCAGGAGGCTGAGATCTGAGGATCATAGTCTGAAGTCAGCTCAAGCAGGAAAGCCCATGAGACTCTTATTTCTAATTCACTACCAAAAAAAGCTGCATGTGGAGCTGTGGCTCAAGTGTAGAGCACTAGCTTTGAGCAAAAAAAAAAACTCAGGGACGGTTCCTAGGCCCTGAGCTTAAGTCCCAGGACTGGCATGCACATGCACGCACACACACACACACACACAAATTATCCATTTGATAAGCCCTGTATACCAAGGCCAGGAAATTGTGTCAATATACAGGTTGTCACATATCCGAGTGTGATATAATCTACTTGCATTTGAAGCAGGCCCTCCCATAAATATAATTCCTTAGTTCTATGTGTCCTGGTTTTGCTTTCTTTCTTTACAAGAAGTATCTTCTTCCTTTATACGGAAAGGACTATCAACTGGGAAGGGTCCATGTAGACCAAACTTATTTACTACATTTAACACATCAGTGCATACACTGATTTATCCAATAATGGAATTAAGAGCTAAATTGTAAGAACCAAGGCAAATACTTTGGGGCAGAAGTTAGTACCTGTAAAAAGTACATAAAGGTTCATGATACACGATTTTAAAACCAAAAACAAATAACCAACTATTTCTTATGGTATTATATGTGTCACATAATCTACTCTTTCTCACAAAATTTTATCAAATGCCAAATCTGATTGTTCCATTACTAGAACTACTTCATAAATGATTAAAAAATATGGAAGGAGCATGAAAGAACAAAAGCAAATTCCTCAGACATGCTAATGCTGAAAAGAGGCTGAACAAGGTTCTTTAATCACTTATAAATACACTCAATTTTGTATTTTCAGTGACATCAATTTATTTTATCTGACAAAAGAGCAATCTATTCAGAGAAAATTTACAAATTTAGATAAAGATGAAGAAAAACATTCCATAAATCAGAGATTACAAATTACTCCTCTATTATTTTCTAATTTCTTCTACTTATATAAATGTTCTTACCCTAAAAATTAGTCATATGATAAATCCCATTATACAATCATTTTGTTCTCACTTATTATGAAGATTTTTCATGTTGCTAACTAGCATTTAAAAATACCATGTTATAGCCATAGAATATTGAAATGTGCAATGATCTATCATGATGCATTTATATTATTTAAAATGTTTTAAGTTTTATGATGATACTTTAAAAATTTTATAAGACTCTTCTTTTGGTCAAAATTGTCTTCTAAAAAATATACTCAGAAAAGGAACTGAATATTTCTCAGAAGAGAAATAAAAAATCTAGTTCCTTTGCTCTCTAGAATTGAATCTTTGTCTGGAAGAACCAAAGATGAAATTGGCTGCAGGCTATTAAGATAACTACCCACCATTTCATTTTCCCTTTTGGTACCCTCTTGAAGAACCATAGATTATGTCTTTCCTGAGAATCTGAGTGCCCAGTGAGATCTCATACTACTAGTACGATGCTAGGACAAATGGTGGAGATTGTTGTTTCTTCTGTTCTTTGGTTTTGGTTTTGTAGCTATTGGTACGATTATTGTTTTGCTGTAAAGCAAAAGCCTTATAAGAACATTACATTAACTTGTGATGTTATGTTTTATGGAAAACTGGTTTTGGGTCAAATCCAGAAACTAACAATTGAATTCATTCCATGGTATTGCTCCTTTTTCTTTTCTTTTTAAAAAAGATTTTTATTACCTTTAAATAGTGGTACAGAGGAATTACCATTCAAAAAGCAGTTTACAAATACAATGTGTTTTGATCAATGTCACTTCTTTCAACAATCTATGGTACTGCTTATTGGGTACATCAGAATATTCCAGAATGGAAAGTTGAACTATGATGAGGGCCTCAAAGGTTTGGTTTAAACTTCGATAATCTATGGATTTTTCTTTGCTTAAGGAAAAAAAAAACTTTTGGGGTTCATGTGTTCTACTATCTACTAAGTAACTGAAACTCTAATAACCTTTGACTACTATTTTGAGGAAACACACAGGTGGAGAAATGGTCTTTACCCGGTTAAGTGTATTAAGCGCATCTCTGGCAGCCACCAGCGCAGGCTCCGCTTTGAGCAAGTCAGCCTCACATTCTCTCTGTTTCTGGGACACTTCAATTTGAATGGCAGTCACCTATGGAGAGAGGAAAAACACACAAACAGAAATTACATCAGGAATCTCTTCTACAAAGTGTAGATTGACCTTGGTTGGGCACACTGAAATCATTCATTAGCCTGTACTTTAAAGCACTGAAGAAGTATTGTCAAGACTAATTTTCTTTCAGGTATAGTATGTATAAAGCTTTGTAAACACATACAAAATACATTGACAAATCAAATAGATTCAAATCTCAAAACATTCCTAGTATGACTTTGACTCAAGTAACTTTGAAGTTCCACTAATGGCAATATAAGAATTAGCAGTCAAAGCCGGGCGCTGGTGGCTCACGCCTGTAATCCTAGCTACTCAGGAGGCTGAGATCTGAGGATCTTGGTTCAAAGCCAGCCCAGGCAGGAGAGACCATGAGACTCCAATCTCCAATAAACCACCAGAAAACCACAAATGGCGCTGTAGCTCAAGTGGTAGAGCGCTCGCCTTGAGCTGAAGAGCTGAGGGACAGCACCCAGGCCCAGAGTTCAGGCCGACCAAAAAAAAAAAAAGAATTAGCAGTCAGTCTTGCTTTTCAGTTTTCTTCAGAGTGGCCCACCAGAGTTCCCCCACCAAAGGAAATCTAGGCTGGATCAGTAACCTTGACCAGAAAATATTCTTGCTACACCTATCTAGCTTTTGCTAACATTTGCTTATAAGTGCTGTGGGCTGGGCCTTAAGAACAAATGTGAAACCAAACTAAACCACCACCACCAACAAAAACAACTAGCAAATATCTAGGAAAGCAAAGCAATAATAATAGACAAAATCAGCAACAACAAAAACAGATGTGAAGCTCTTTTGCTCAACTGTGGTCATGGATTATATATAAGGAAGACACAATTTTTATGAAGACCAATTATGGGCTTCTCCAAGGGCCTAAGAAGCCATTGGTGCATGACCCCAGATCTGTCTGTGGCTTATGGAACTATGACAACCACTGAGCCTCCTGACCCAAAGCCTTATGATTTGAATGCAGGACATTCAAATTTAAATGGAACCAATAGGAGAATTTTACTCTTCTCCTCTTAGGATACCTATAACATTTGAATGGCTCATGAGAATGGATTTCCAGTCCTCGGCAGAATTTTCACATTGTGGTACTGGGCACCAGGATTCAGTCCCACTGGGGGATGGTTCCTGAGGTGATGGTAATTGTGGAATGTAAAGTGTGAACAAAAGTGCATTTCTTCAGCTAGATTTGGAATGAACAGGTTTAACCATACCATAAAATTAAACACCGTTCACAACAAATTATGTTGTCTAGTACAGCTTTATTAGCAGTAATTGCCCTTTTCCTGATTAACCATTATTTTGCTGTATACTGCCCCTTTTATGAACATAATTGGTTCAGGGTAGATACAGGATCTCCTGCTAACATAGGCATAGCTACTGTTAATGTACATAAGAAAACCCTGCAAGCTTACCAAAAACACTCCAAAACCACAACCCTTAAGCAATGCCAGGAGTGAACCATGCAGACTCTGAGAACACGTTTTCAGTGTGCTTGACATGAAAGGAAGTGTGTGCCAGCAAGTGAGTTACTGCCTGGTGCTTATTTATCTTCCATGAGGACACAGTGAATTAAGGGTATTTTTGCTTTTTTGGATGGCTCCACTTAAAAAAATCATTTTATTTCATACTTAGGATCAAAGGTTTTCAGCATTGGGAGAAACCTTCGGCAGTTTTTGTTGTTGGTAGGTTTGTTGTTGGTAGGGATGGTCCTGGGGATTCAACTCAGGGCCTTGAACTTGATAGGTAGGTGCTCTACTACCTGCATCATGCCTCCAGCCCTTTTTGCTGTTTTGAGATAAGGTCTCATTTTTTTTTCCCCAGGCTAACATGAACCCTGATCCTCCTATGTCCCATGATAGCTAGAATGACAGGTGCATGCCATCTAAGATAAGGTCTCAAAACTTTTTGGATTGGGCTGGAACTGCTAGCCTCCATGTCTCAGCCTACTATGTAGCTGGGGTGATAGGTCTGCATCACCGTGTTTATCTATTGGTTGAGATGGGAGTCTTGAAATTTGTTTGCCCTACTTGGTCTCCAACCATGATCCTTTAGATCTCAGCCACCGAGATAGCTAGAATTTGCAGATGTGTAGGCAGCTGTTGTGCTTTCATATCCTATAACTGTGAGCCTGGGATAGTCATTCTTCCTCAACTCTTTTTCTTTGGACTCTTTCACTACTTAAAGAATAACACCCATTTAGATAGTTTTTATAAACAAATTAATTATAACAAGTAAATAAAACCCCACAAATATAAATAAGAAAACACTCTAGGTTGGCCAGCTTATTTCTTATTCCCAATACCTTTCCCATAAGGTACAACGAAATTGGAGTAGTAAAAATACTGTGCATCTCAATGATGTGGTAAGAATGCAATTTCTTCAAAGAGCTAACTCAAAGAGAGCAGTGAGCAAGGCTCAGCCTGCAGAACGGGAAGAGCTTCACAGATTTCTGAGCTTTCTTCTACAATGGAGGGTAGTAGCGCTGGAGACACTGCCACTTATTGGGCACACCAGAAATCATCTGCCATCTATTAATTAGTATTACTTAACAGTCCTAACATTTTGTGATAATCACAAGGAATAAACTCCTCAAAAGCACTTGTTGTGTCTATTCACAACTCATCTGTGGAATCCTTAATTCCCAGTATCTCAGAATGTAGTTTTCTTTGGAGGTAGGGCCTGAATAGGGACAATGAAAGTAAAAAGAAGCCATACGGGTAGGTCCTCATCTCATCTGCCCAGTATCCTTTGAGGTAGTAGTAGTAGTTTGGAAACACAAGAGACAATACAGATGAGTACTCACAGAGGAAGGGTCAGGGGAATTCACAGCAAGAAGGCAGCCATCTGCAAGCCAAGAAGGGCCGCAGGAGAACCAACCTCTAACATCGTGACCCTGACCTCAGCCCCCAGAACTGGGAGAAAAATCAATCTGGAGGTGGGGAGGGAATATATGCTGGTATTGGAGCTTGAACTCAGGCTTTACATTTTTACTTGACTCTTTCATGGCTGGTGCTCTACCACTTGAACGACACCTCCCTCTAGTCTGTTGTTGATTAATTGGAGATAAAAATCCCATGGATTCCTCTATCAGTGCTGCCTTCAAACTACTATCCTCAGATCTCAGTAGATCTAGTTACTAATTAACTACTTACTACTCAGATCCCTGGGTAGCTAGGATTAGAAGTGTGAGTGGTTGGCATGAGTGAAAATCAATCTGTTTAATGCCTCCCAATCTACCACATATCATTATTGTGCCCCCCCCGAAAAACATAAATTGTTTGTACTCTTCTCTTTTCTCCGGATTTATAAAATTCCCAGGCCCACTCATAGTTAGAAAACAGACTCAAAAGCCAACAGTGGACATTGGTTCAAAAGCAAGGTGGTCTAACTTGTGAAGAGATTACATCAGCACTTCAGTTGATGAGGTGCTGCTACTCACCCCACCAAGGGGGAGAGAACACTGGGAAAATGACCACAGGATTCGCAGAATCTTTGGAACTTGAACTGACAAATTTAAAGATGGAACTAGTTTTCACAGGTTTTGTGGTGCTTGCATGACTTGAAGTCATGGCCAACAAGAGTGGTGTACTTGGCCCTAGATTATTTTATAAATCGGAAGCAACTATTTCAACCTACTTCTCCACTTAGGCTGTCAAGACACATTACAAGACAGTCTCTAAGCCCAACATTTGTGTAGTCACATTAAATGTGGCAATGTTCTTGGTGAGCCATGCAGCATTAGTTTTTATTACTGCTCACCTCCTAAGCCTGGGGAGCTTAATTTTACAGGCTCAGAAAGAGTTTATTATTTCCTCCCTTTAGTAATAGTATTGCATCTAGTACACTGCTAAATGTGTGACACATGCATGTCACAGCATGTAATCTGGTGCTAATTTCTCAGTTTCACGTGGCTTGATTACAAAGAGAGCATCTTTGCCCGTCACCAACTTAAAATTGCTCCTTCTATTCAAACTATTTGGTTTTTACCAGAGTATTGATCACTAAATCAAACTTATCTTATGTCTTAATGTGTTACTTCTGTCCTGTCAGGATTTTCCATTGCAATATAAACTACCTAAATACACATTGTTTGGTAACTATTCTTAAGAGCCCGGTACAGTACCTAACACCCCCCCCCAAAAAAAAATAAATCAAAACACAATTTAAAATATATGTGCATGTACTCAACATTTCTGATTAGATAAGCTGCATAAACCAAGTGATAAGTGTTATTTTTACTTCTTGGTATATAATTATGAAAAATAGTGTGTGCCTTGTATGTTTGAAGCAGCTCTAGAAACAACCAGGAAATGAGTTCTAATTTGCCAAAACCTTTTTTGTCCTCTCTAAGGTAATTGTATCTTAGGAATCCACCTACAAAAAAAAATGTGAAAGTATCTCTAGAGTACTTATTCAATTTCAAGATCTCCCTAGGGGTGGAGATTGGTCATGATACAATAATTATGAGAACATGACACATTGGTGTGATACCTCAATGCATCCTCTGGGTGAAATCAGCTTAGGAAAATGACACCACGTGAGACACATAGCTACTCAATATGATAATACACTTTCTGCACTTGTCAGAAACTCAATGGTAACACTCATTACTAAAATCAGCAATTCTAAGTTTGCTGGCCATTACTTTGCTTGTCTTTGGCTTCAAATAAAATGGACCTTTTTTATTATTTAAAGTTTCGATGTTTAGCATAGTGTTCAAGGCATTAGTAATGCAAAATAAAATATGCTGAAGGCACATTAAAAAAGAGAAGGAAAACAACCTGAGTATACATAAATGGCTGACAACACTACAGGAGAAACTCACATTTTTCTAGTTTCTTAAAATGCAAGGATCATGGCATAATGGTTACTGATTCTGAGTGTCAGTAATTTATATTTTAATGACTTAGACTCTGATTATCTTTTTCTATAAAATTCAAAAAATTACCTTACATATATATATATATATAAATCATTTAACATTTTTATTTATTAGTTATCTCTGTTTCCTATGCTATTCCTTTGGAGAAATACAATACACAAAGTTTTTGGTAAAAGAAGATGTCAAAAGTTGCATTTATTTCAGAAGAATTACTGGAAACCTGAGCCTGAAGAAAGCAAAAGCTATATAAATCTTAAAGGTAATTGTTTCCAACAATAAAACACAATACAGAATGCTTAGGGCCTCAATCAAGTCAAAAAGAACAAATTTAGCTTAGGATTTAATAATAAACTCCAGTTATGTTATTAAAATGCAAAATTTGAAAACCATCTCACAAAGTGTCAGAATGGGCTTTGTTAACAATGGAGTTGTTCAATTTGCCTAAAAACAAGAAACCTTTAGAAACCTCAGAGGCGACTTCCTGACCTTTACTGTATTACAAATAGGCCTGATGTTCAAGATCCACATCCATTATATGCTTGAATGAGCTCAGTATTTATTGTTCTTTCATAGCATTAAAGAGCTAAAAGGTTGGGAAAATGCATAATGTAAAGAAAGGTCAAGTGGTACTCATGGTGTGAAATGCTGTTACATGTGTAACTATAATCATTCTTTAGACTTGATGCTCCCTGGAGAGGAAGTTGTTCAAAATTGTTCACCTACAAAGGTTTATTTTGTGCTAAATATAGCTCAGCACTCTAAATGGTGGAATTAGCCTGACCTTTCGCTCCTCGGCATCGGCAATGGCCTTTTCCCGGCTCACTTTCTCTGTCTGAAGCCCGATCTTGGCGATCAGAGCCTCAGCATCATGATTTCTCAGCTGCAACTCGGCTTCTTGAGAAGCAAGTCTGGCTTTCAGATCTGCCACCTGCAGAAAAAGTCAGTACTCTTGAATAACTTGCACTGATAACAACAAATAACACATGCAGCTTATTACTTTCGTGTGGATTCTGGGATCCCTAATGGTTAAACTGTTTCTACCCTGGTGTGCGTGTGTATGTACATGTGCATGTGTGTGTACTGGAGTTCCAACTCATGGTTTGGGAGCTGCCCTTAGCTTCTTTTTACTCAAGGATAGTACTATACCACTTGAGTCACACCTCCACTTCCATCTTTTTTTTTTTTCCTGATGGTGGTGGTGTTAAATGGAGATATGAGTCTCTAGGGTTTGTCTGCCTAGGCCGGTTTTGAACTATGATCCTTAGATCTCAGCCTGCTAAGCAGCTAGGATTACAGGTGGGAACTATTGTACCTGGCTTCTACTCTGATTTTATTGCGATCTCGTTTGCAAAAATGTAGCCCTATTTCTCCCCACATAAGAGGAAATAATCAATGTTATCTGATGGTTTTGTAGGAAACATTTTGTATTTGTGTCAGTTCTAAGTAGAAGTGTACATTTTTGTCATTTAAGCTTTGGACTTGAAAAACCAACAGAAGTTAGATCACCCCATCTATCCCCCACAGGCTCAAGACAGCATGCTGCCTGGTGAGCTGGAAGAGCCATGGTTAGTATTCTCTAATGGAAAATTGCTAGGAGCTTCAGATAAACTGAAGACAAGTGCTCTCTTTACCTATCTGCAGAAAAAGTGGTAGTATATTGAAGCAGCCACCACCAGATCCTATGTCTTCTTACCTAGCACAAAATGGCCCTCTTGATTTTTCTCACCTTCTCTGGCATTTAGTTTAGGCCCATGCAGACAATCCAATATGGAGCTTAACACCTACCAAGACAAACTAAATGCTCTCTGTGGGTATTAGTGAAGTGTGGCCAGAAGCTCAGCATGCACACACAGATGTACTGTTCCTCCTTTTGGCTACCACTGAGCAACCTTACTCTGCTTCTGTAGAACACTGGAGGCAACAACATGCCTTAGGTTTAAAAAAAATCTATTCTGAGGCAGGCCTTGGTGGCTAATGCCTATAATCCTAGCTATTCAGGAGGCTAAGAACTGAGGATTGCTGTTTGAAGCCAAATGGGGAAGGAAAATCCATGAGATTCTTATCTCCAGTTAACACACACACACACACACACACACACACACACACGCACGCGCACACGTGCGAGCATGCACACGCGCGCGCACGCTGGAAGTGGAGATGTGGCTCAAGTGGTAAGCAACAGCCTGGAGTGAGAAAGGTAAAGGCCCGAGTGCCCAGGTCCTGAGTTCAAGTCTAGTACTAGCAAAACTAAAAACTTAAAATAAATAACTCCACCCATTTTTCAGTTTTAATTTCCTTAGATAACACTGAATTCCAAAGTCTGAAGATTGTGTAAACCAAAGAGAAGTAAAATACTAGAGAAAAACTGTAAGTCAGTCCCCCCAAATATATAAGATTGTGACAATTAGCTCTTTCTTCTACTTTTCACAGAAAAAAAATCTCTAAAAATCATATATTCATAGATTCAACAAACAGTCTTAGCCATTTATTTTGACTCATTTAATAAAGACAATGCAGGATTTTCCTCTTATAAAGCTGCATCCCAGTACTCTATTTAAGTGAGCCTAGAAGTCCCACAGACAGGGCTGGCTGTTCATAGACAGATTACCACAGCTGCTGTGTCGCTGCTTCTGTGTTATGTTTTCACATAAGCCTGACTGTTTCGACTCTTTATGAACTCAGGGTAACCTTTCAGAGTGCCATTTGCTTCCCTGTTCTCTTTAGCCATTAAAACTAGTTTTATGTAAGGCCATAGTCAAAAGAATCATCCAAGAGACTAGGGAGAACTATGACATTCATCCCTAATTCCAGTTTCTAAGACAGCAGTTAGCTCTAAAATATCCAGGAACTGAAGCTCTGGAAGAAAAGCTGCATCTAGGGAGAAATGTCACTACAGCCATCTGTGATGACCAATACGCAGGTTACCCTGAGTTCATCCTAGCTAGCTACTCAGGATAATGAGAAATGAAGATCATGATTTGAAGCCAGTCTAAGCAGGACTCTTTCAGACTCCTATCTCCAATTAACCACCAAGAGGCTGGAACTGGAGCTGTGGCTCAAGTGGTAGAGGGCTAGCTTTGAACAAAAAGGTAAATGTTAGCCTTTACACCCTAAGTTCAAGCCTCAGTACAGCACAAAAGAAAAAAGAGGTGGGGAAAAACAGGGAGGGAGGGAAAGGGAAGGAGAAGGAGGAAGAAGAGGAGGAGGAGAATAGGAGAAGAAGGAGGAGGAGGAGGAGAAGGAAGAGGAGGAGAAGCAAGAGAAGGAGGAAGAGAGGAAGAGGAGGAGAAGGAGGAGGAAGAAGAGGAGGAGGAGGAAGAGGAGAAGGAGAAGTTAAAGAAGGAGAAGAAAAGGAAGAAGGAAAAGAAGGAGAAGGAAGGGAGAAGGAAAAGGAGAAGAAAAGAGGGAGGGGTGAAGAAAGGGAGGGGGAGGAAGGGAAAGGGTACGGAGGTAGAGGGGGAGAGGAGAAAGGGAGAGATTAGAGATGGAGAGGAGGAAAGAAGAAAGGGAAGGAGGGAGAGAAGAAGGAAAGGAGGAAGAGAGGAAGGGAAGAGAAAGAGGAGGGAAGGCAAACAGGAGGGAAGGGAAAAAGGAGGGAAGGGAAAGAGGGGGGAAGAGAAAGAGGGAATACAGAGGGAGGGGGAACAAAGAAAAGGGAGAGGATGGAGCAGGAGGAGAAAAGGGAAGAGAAGGAAGAAAGGAAGAAGGAAGGAAGGAAGCATACCACCAACAATGGCATGCTGCCACCTCTTGGAATAACTGATGTCACACCACTTGCCTTTCAATCCGTCATTTGGGAAAGACAATTGTGGAAGGATGGCTCTGGTCTTTCCTTCCTTGCCAAGGGCCGCCATACCCTTCAGTATAGAGAGCTCAGCTTAGGTGACAACAGAGTGAACAGGTTCAACTTGAAACACCATTCAAAGGGACACAAATTGCAGCCACGCGTGATGGCTACTGAGCTCTTTTGTCATCCTCTTAGCACTGCAGCTAGGAGCTCAGCAGGACTACTATACTCTCTGCTATGGAAAGAGGTTTGTTACTTTAAATGAGAGCAAACAGAGATAGGAAGAGGGAACAGAAAAGAAGAGAATAGGACTAGAAGAGCAAGATCAGATGTGTATAAAAAGGACTAGCTACTATCCTTACCACATAAACAGCAGCTCTACTCCTGGCTTTTTGCTGGCTGGTTAGAGACTCATAGATTTTCCTACCCAGGCTGGCTTTGAACCACAGTCCTCAGATCTCAGCCTGCTAAGTAGCTAGGATTACAGTTGTGAGCCACCAGTACTCTGCTCAGGCAACTTCTTAAATCATTTCATCATAACTGCCCTGAAAACACCCTCTCTATGGCTCTGCTTCCAACCACAATCTCCTGCTCTGTATAAATCCATTTCCTACCTAAGACATAGTCTTGTGGTATAAGTACAATAGGGATACCTACTTTGCATCTGGATTGGGTTTTCACAATCAAGTGAGATTAGCACCCTAATATGAGATCTAGGATACAGTTTGAAGCCAGCCTTGGCAGGAAAGTGTGTGAGACTCTCATCTCCAATTAACCACCAGAAAAAAGAGAAGTGATGCTGTGGCTCAAAGTGCTAGCTTCAAGAGAAAAAGCTCAGGGACAGTGCCCAGGCCCTGAGTTTAAGCCCGACAACCACAACAAAAAAAGAGGTAGTAGGGCCTGATGTCTGAGGAAATGACATTTGAGAAAGCCAGTGGCTCCCAGGAGCAGAGCAGACATCCAGGTCAAAGAGAAGAACCACTGTATTTGGGGACCTCACCATGCCATGAGCCAGGTATGATGCCCTCACTGGGGATTCAGTGTCAGAGACAAGAGATTCTAGTACCATTTTAGGCTAATGAGATTCCTGATTGTAAGCTCAAAGCCCTATAGAAGTCAGAGGAAGAGAGGAGGAGTAGAAAGACCAGGAAGAGGAGGAAGAGGAGGAGATAGAAGAGGAGACAAAGACAGGAAGGGGTGATTAGCTCACACTGCCCTGTACATGTTCAGACCAAGAGACGGTCTTTCCTCAGCTAGGAAAGAGTAAATGGCCTTTCCCTAGATTAGGGAACAGTAATGAGGTGTTTCTTGTGCCCACAACCTGCAAATTTTAGTAGTATACATCTTATCAAAACAGGATCAGCACTGTTTCAAAAGGAAACACATTTTTCTATGGAAGAACTGTGATTTCTCTGGTCCTACCTGCGAGGCGGTGGTCTTTAGTTTCTGGATGCCATTGACCAGGTGCTCTCTCTTCTGGGCTACTTCTTGTTGTTTCCTCTTTAACAGGTGCTTAAACAGTGATATTTGCTCCAGGAAACTCTTTGGGGTGGTGTAATTATGTCTTCTCTCATTCTGGTAATATCTGGCACTCATTTCGTTTACGCTGGTATGAACGTGTGCCATGAATTCACTAATGGAATCCTTGTGCTGGGGCTGAAATGTAAGTCATTGAAATCCTCTCAAGTTAAAAATGCAATTTAGAAGACACAGATTAAAAAAAACAAACCACCAACCAAATTATGCAGTATTTGTTGCCTAAGAGTCAGAAGAAATTATAGAAGCCAGGAAAACTTACTTCATCCTTAAGAGATATGCAGGAAGATCAGAGAATGACAAGAAAGCATTCAGCTTTCCTGCCAATCTCCTTGCCAAGTAAGACAAAGGATTGTTATGTGTTCTATGTACCAACACCAAAAGCCAACTTACAACGCCAACACAATTCTTCACCATTTGATTTTTTTTTTTTATCTATCTACTATGTGAAAGAGAAATGGAGAGATAGAGACATGATATTCTGAGGAATACATAGGTCTGCTGTAGTTTTTCAAAGTCAAATTTAAACAAAGAGAATCAATAACCTTGCAAACAGGGAAACAGAAACAGAAAAGCTAAAATGGAGAAACAGAGTTTAATGAGAAGCCACATTAAACAGTCTGGGTGGGTATGTCAAATCACTGCCTCTGGGAGAAAAAAATACCAACACCATTTCTTTTCTCATTTGGAGGAAAACAAAAACAGAAACTCTGTAGGCATCCTGGTGTCTCCTCCATGCTTTCCTCAGCGTCCTCAGTGACTTCTGAAGTAGTTAACTTTTTAATCTGTGGAGTCACATCTCCCTCATTTTAATGATTATTTATTGCATTCTGTACAAGATGAACCGGGTTCAATTAATCAAGGGAAGCCTAAAAATCAATTAATATGAATTAAATGAGCTACACCAACTCTTTGGAAAGTCACACATAATTTACCAAAGTGTTGTCAATAATGCTCAGGCATCTTGGGGAAAATTGCTCACAAGTGCCTTGTGATACAGTTAAGTGATTCCAGCCTGCACCATCAAAGCTGCAGCGAGGTGCAGCAGACAGGCCAGTTCCTGCTGCTGAAAATGCCAACTGCTGGGAGTGACACTCAAATATCCAGCTCGCTCTCCAACCTTACTGTGAGTCCTTGAGCAAGCATAAAATCAGCATGTCTTGCATTGTTTCTGATATGAAATCTCTTTTCTCATTAGTGACTTAAGTAAATTGATTTGTTTGAAGTAATGTGCTTTTAAAGCAAAAGACAGATGAAAGTTATAGATACAAAATTTATTATCTTCAATTAGAAGATAATAAAAAAGGGAGGGGTGTTTCAATTCAATATATCAACTTATGCGTATAAACTAAATATTCTTCTCTCTGTGTTAGTACTAGGGTTAAACTCAGGGCTGTCCCTTAGCTTTTTCATTCAAGGCTGGTACTCTACTGCTTCAGCCATAGTACAACTTCTGGCTTTTTGGTGGTTAATGGGAATTGAGGCTCACAGACTTTCCTGCCTGGTCTGCCTTTGAACCTCAGATTTCAGCCTCCTGAGGAGCTAGGATTTAAAGGTTTGAGCCTTCAGGCACCCAGCTAGATTTTGTTCTATTGAGGAGAGATCCAAGATACATACATTTCTCCAAATAGTGGATTCAAGAAAAAAAATCAAATTTACAAGCAAGTTTCTATCAATTTCATATCAATCATAGTCTCTTGGCAACTTTTACTGTTAAAGGAGTCTGGCTGTAGTATAAACTTGTAAAAATTTGCTCCTGCCTGTCTTGTCTTGCTTTTATTGAACTGAAAGTATGTGTATAGTTTTCCATAATACAGATAAATATTCTCTCGGCCAAATGTAACCTCCTTACAGAGGAAAAAAATATCCTGGCCCCTGCCCAACTATGATCCTATGAAGAGGGGTGCCAGGCAGCCCTGAAAGCTCCAGTTAACAAGAGTTGCATTTGAGAATCTGAAATAGAAAAAGTAGTTTCCGGTGGCGCTGGAGACAACTTGTCTCAATGGGGCAAAATAACTATTGTTATGGGGCTTAACAAAATGGCCCAGCATGGGCCACTCACAGAGCCAGGGAGCAGCTGGTTGTAATTCACACTGTTTTTCAGCAAACTCTAATCGGTCCAGAACAGACCTCTTTGATGACTGGTCTTCCCTGCGTTCTCAATTTGTCACTTTCTCTTATGATAAGGTCAGTAGTGACAGCACTTCCTGACATTAACAGCTGTGGCTTTTAAAAGGGTCATTGTAGAACTACTAATTGCAGTAATTTCATTAGCATAAATTATTTATTCTGCCATTCATTTATCTCCAGTTTTCTTCTGGAGGGTGGGGTAGAACAGAGAGAGGGGGCAATGGCAGCCCCAATGCTGTATTTTTTTATTTTTTTGCTGTGAGAGTCTGGAGGGCAGTGAATTGGTCCCACAAGTTTTACCTCTTCAATGAAAACCAGTTGGTACCATTTGCTAGTCATGTCTGTGGCCAAATGTGGTGAAGGAAATAATAATAATAAAAAAAAGCAAGTGGGCTAATATGAAACGAAATGGTTTATCAAGCCACCATTTTCCTACAAAGATGCTTTGGAAAAACAATGCTGTCTCCATTGCATAATTAAATGGGAAGCTAAGACTACTTTCTCTCCATACGAGTAACAAATATTTGACTTCCATTCTTTTAGTTGTAAACATAAAAACATAATCATTCTGCTGTGTTCTCCAGCAGTAGCTCTTGCTGCTACTACTGTACCAAATACTCAGGCAGACTGCTTTTCAACCACATGCCCACTGTCAGGACAAATTGTGTGAGGTGGCTATTTGGGAGGCAAACATAGGGAGGACTGGTATTGAAGGCTATCGCAGGCAAAGAGAGAGTCAGACCCTAGCTCAAGAGATAAGCCAGGTATGGTACTGCACATCTATTAATCCATTCACACGAGGACCTGTAGGTCCAAAACCTTGAGACCCTGCCCAAAAGATAAATCTAGAAAGTCTGTACACATGGCTCAAGTGGTAGAATGCCTACCTAGCAAATGCAAGGCTCTAAATTTAAAAAAACAAAACAAAAATCCCAGTGCCACCAAGACATTTTTTTTTAAAGTCATTTTGTGGCATTAGAAATACGCTAATTTACTTAATGTTTCAAATATGCCCCAAGGGCTTTTTTCTCAGAGGAGCTTAGGCAAGTGCTAAAATGCAGAAGTGATCGAATTTATGTCTTATCTAGTTGTCCTTATTTAATAAACCATCTCACTACTGCCAGGGTCTAATTAACATATTCTCTTTTACTGGTCCCCAAAGGAGGAAAATTATAATAGCTTTTATAGCTCAGCAGCTTGGAATTTTTAAAAGAAATTAAGACAAATAATTCCTGAGAAAAACTTTCAAGACCCACTGTAAATGTATGACATTTTAAATGACAAAATTCTGTTTAACTAAAACAAATAAAACCTGTTTGCTGCGCCCAGTGGCGGAAGCCTGGAATCCTAGTGTCAGGAGGCAGGGATCGGGGATTGCAGCTGGAGGCCAGTCTGGGCCTTCAATAAAGTTTACTAGACTTGGGTTCATATTGGCCAAGCAGTGGCAGATGCTTGTCATTTCAAGCTTCTGGAGAAACACAATGGTTGGCTGCAGTGGTGCACATGGCATCCCAACAACAAAAGGAAGCACAAACAGGAGGATCACAGTACTGGCAAGCCCAAGCATAAAATAAGATTCTGCCTGGAAATTAAAGGACCGGCAGAAGTTGCTCAAGCAGTGGAGTACCTGCCTATCAGGTGTGTCAAGGCCCTGAGTTCAAGCCCCAATTGGAAGAGGAAGAGGAGGAGGAGGAGAAGGAGGAGGAGGAGGAGGAGGAGGAGGAGGAGAAGGAGGAGGAGGAGGAGGAGGAGGAGGAGGAGGAGAAGGAGGAGGAGGAGGAGGAGGAGGAGGAGGAGGAGGAGGAGGAGGAGGAGCAACAGCGGAGGAGGAGGAGGAGGAGGAGGAAGAAGGAGGAGGGGAGGAAGGAGAGGAGGCAGAAGGGAGGGAAGGAGGGAAGGAAGGAAGGGAGGGAGGGATGGAAGGGAGGGAGGGATGGAGGGGAGGGAGGGATGGAAGGAGGGGGAGAGAGAGAGGGAAGGGGAGGGAGAGAGAGAGAGAGTGAGGGGGAGAGAAGAGCGAGAGCAAGAGAAAGAATCCACATTAAGCAGCCTATTTTTTACTTTCCTGCAAGTCTAAATTTAATTTTGCAGACCTGTATAGTGTCTTTCACTGGCCTTTGGATGGTTTAAAATCTAAAGTAACAAAAAAAATCTGAAGTAACAAAATGTTTGATTTGGTGCTAATCCCTAAGTGTTTTGCCTTCAATTTCTATTATCTTTTTTTTTTTTTTTAATTTCCCTTAGCCAGGCTCTGGTGGCTCACGCCTCTAATCCTAGCTACTCAGGAGGCTGAGATTTGAGGATTGTGGTTCAAAGCCAGCCTGGGAAGGAAATTCCATGAGACTCTTATCTCCAATAAACAACTAAATCGGTAGAGTGCTAGCCTTGAGCTGAAGAGCTGAGGGACAGTACCCAGGCCCAGAGTTCAAGCCCTATGACCAACCCCCCCACCCCCACAAAAAAATCCCAATACTGAGGCTAGGTAGGGTCTCTACCCCTTGAGCCTTAGCCCTGTAGCCTTGAGTTACTTTTCCAATAGGAACTTATGTTTTTGTTCAAGTGGGTCTGGACTACAGTCTTTCTTATACCTGGCATATACTTGAAATGATAGAAGTGTACCACCATGCCTAACTTTATTGGTTGAAATGAGAGTTTTGTTTACTTTTTTGCCCAGGTCAATCTTGAACAGGGTCTGGATGGGTTTCTAGTTATGGGAGAGGTAGCTCCATGATTCTCACATACAGCATTGAAGAGACAATTGAGGACTGACCCTATTTGGGGAGGGGTGTGTGTGTTGTAGAATTGCTGCTTCCGGTGAAGCCAGCATTCTAGAAGTTCCACAGAACTACAAACTTGAGAGTAGTGATGGTGTCATATGAGAGTTCAATGCCTGGCTTAATAGTGTATCCAGCTTCCTGGGCAGCCAATGAACCTGCTTTTCACAGATGATCCCTAGAGTTTATGGAGTTACAGAAACCCTGGAAATCAGCATTCTTCTAGCAGCTCTACCTAAATTTGATTAACAAGCCCAGAGTAAGACACGGATGATGGGCAGATTATTTGTGCACCCACACTTTAAGGAGAAAGGGCTCGACAATACCAAAGGTTATTTACAGCTTCTTTTGAACTCTCTTCACCCATTGGAAGATGCATGTAAGCCTGGATGAGATTTAGGCAGATCTAAGATAAATTGGATTGCCTTACTTTAGTCTTGATATTTCAGAATGTCTTGGCTATGCCTTAGAAAGAAAATATTTTTTCTCAAACAATTTCTAAATCACAAGGTTCTCTCTCTCTCTTTTAAATTTATATCATCATTCTAATTTATATTTCTTTCAAAGAACTGTGCAAAAAATACTACTAATATAAAACAGCTATCATTGACAAAATGTTAATCCTCCTTCCGGTTGGGCACACTCTTTTCAAAAAGGATCTACAGACCACTGGAGCAAATAAATCATAAACTATAGCAATAAAATAACTTGCCTCTTTGGCTGGACATTTCTTGTGATTGGTTTTGGAAAATGATAGCAAAGTCCACCAGGCCTGGGATATCCCCCTACAAGTTCTAGATGGAGGAGGTGGAGTCTTTTCTTTCAAATTTCAGCTCACACTGGGTATGTGGTTACACTGAAAGGGGAATGATGTCAGAGGCCCTACCACTTGAGCCACGCTTCCACTTTGGTGATTGGAGACAGGAGTCTGCTGGACGTTTCTGCTTGGGTTGGCTTTGAACTATGATCTTTAGATCTCAGGCTCCTGAATTCCTAGGATTACAGATGTGAGCTCAATGCTCGACTTGGGTTTTTTATTTTTTTTTCCTTGCATGTTCCTAATGGGTAGCCACACATTAATTAGATCTTCCATCAGCATCCACAGCTCCATCCCTAGCAATATGCAGAGGGCTTCCAAGGCCCCTCCCTTTCTCCTCCCTCACCCCACCCTCTTCCCATCTCCATTTCTAAAACTCCAGTGAGCAGCGGTCACGATGACACTCTTTCAATATAAATACCCAGTCACACCTAAGTGTACAAGTATTTTGGTCTCTTTTTTTGGGGGGGGGGTGTCAGCTGTCATTTAGTTGAGTATCAGGTAACAAAAATAGCAGGAGTGTTTAGTTGCAGTCAGCCCACACATGGGGGCGGGGGGGGGAGAGGGAGAGAGAGGAGGGGGACTGTATGCACACTGATGGAAAATTATATGTCAACATACACAAGCACACTTGCCACTAATGAATCCTTTCTTTGTGGCCCAAGGGAGGGTGAGGTCACCTTATACTCATCTAGTGTGGTCAATAATTAAGAAATGCCTAAATTATGCTGATAACTCTGTCTTAATAATAGAAATTAAAATTAAGAAAGTGATCAAATTAGCACTCATTCAACAAAGATGGAAACGCTTTTTGACCTCTCCAGAGGTTGTGTTTTTTAAAAATAAGAACACAGATACACTGCACCGTGCACTCTGAATTATAATTACAGGACCAGAGCAACAAATTAGGAAGGTAAGAAAGTTAAATAAGCACTTTGCACTGAAATGAAATCATCTGGTTAATTTGTTTCCAGGCATAATGCAGCCTTCCTAGAAAGAGTACAGGCCTTTCAAACCCCTCCCTGGCATCTGATATAGCCTATAGGAGGCGTTCTGATACCATCTTCACAGATTGCCCTAAGCCTGCCTGGGGCCGGCTGGACTTCAGTCATGCAGATCCTACATTGGCCAGCAGATGTCGATGGTCACTGGCAGATCTGAGTTGCTTCTCCCTGTTGGATTCTGCAGGGCCCCTCCTCCCTCCGCTCCAGAAGGAAGCCAGCAGAGCCCAGAGACAAGGAACTCACACATTTCTGTGCCAGATTCAAGCTGAAGCGAAAGCACCAGCCCTGACTTCCTACAAACTGAGAGGAAAATTTGCAGAAACTGAGTGCATAGATCCATTTTACCTCCTCTTTTTTTTTTTTCCTGGCTGGTCAAATGAACTGGATAAACAGCCAAGTGCTTTTCTCAAAAGATCCACACTGATCCCCCGATGACGCAGAATTATGAGCTCTTCTCATAACTATTTGAAGATAATCATGCTGACAGCATCGTGGGAATGTAATGGACCCAGAAATTGCTCTAGAAATATGTGCTCAAGTTTAATGGCCAATTGTCCTGTTTAATGTTGTTGTTGTTGTGTGTGTGTGTGTGTTCTCAGACTGGGACTTGAACTCAGGTAATCATGCTCTCTCTTGGCTATTTTGTTTAAGGCTGGTGCTGTATCACTTGAGCCACAGCTCTTCTTTCAGCTTTTGGTGATTTATTGGAGATGAGAGTCTCCTAGATTTGTCCTCCTAGGCCACCTTGGAACTGAGGTCCCTTCACTTCTCAGCCTCCTGAGTAGCTAGTAACATATATATGTTTATGTTTGTGTGTGTGTGTGTTTAGAAGAGATGTTTTGTCTCCCATTTATTTGTGGCACTGTTTTAAGTGTCCTCCTTCTCAAGAGAAAAAAGGCCACAGAGCACCTACCACCACTGTCTATGGTGTATCTCTACTTTGTATCTTCCATGGTGGATGCTGCTAGACACTTCTTTCTGGCAACCCAAGGCTTACAGAGATACAGACATTTGGGGACAGATTGCAGAAGAGGGATTCCTTCCACAAAAATTTATAGATAGAAGTATGAGAAGTATGTCTGCATGCTTACTTATGTAGCTTTTTTGTTTAGTAGAGGCAAAGGAAAAATGAGGCAACCAACAAACCTATGTGCATACAAATTAAGTATGTAAATGAACCTGGACTTTTAGCCTTGAGGGCATCTAAAGATATCAGTTCAACAAGATGTAGCAGCTTTGGCTTCTGGGTAAAGGAGATAAACTGGCAGGTAGGCACCCATGTCACTCCTTATTCATCCTGATTCTCTCTTCAGTTCTAGGAGTCTCTCTCAGCAATGCTGGACTTATTCTAGGTATCTGCCACTTTATCCCTTAGTGATCTTTGGCAAGTGTTTACTATCACTACTGCTCTCAACTCTTTGACCAGAAAAGCCCTGGCCAAAAAGAACCTTCACATCTGAAAAAATGTAATGGATAGCTTCCTATTTACAGTATATTCCTTTCTGTTCCAATTGGATGATGGACGTATCTTGTTTTATACAACCATTAAAAAATATATAACAGGAAGAAGTAGAACTGACAAATATAATTCACGATGCATAAATCAGAAAATGTGGCTAGGGTGGAGCTGGTAGTCCAGCACTGGCTAGCATGTATGAGGCCCTGGGTTACACACCAAAACAAATGACACAACCGACACAACAAAACCCACAAAGTCAACAAGAACACATCACTGTGGTTATCAAACTGATGGTGCTGACTCTCCTGTCAACAGTGTATTAAGAAAACCACAATTACTCACCTTGCTTCATTAGAAATCAAATATGGCATTTCTGTTTGTTTTTCATCTGTGGACATAATAGATTTATAGGATGTGACTGTGCTGCGCATGTGCAGTATGAGCAAAACTTGCTTCATGTGCCAGAAGGAGGTCAACCATTGTATTCCACACAATGGGAACACCAAGTGATTTTATCATCTTAATAAGGATGTGTATTTTGGAAAGTACCATCCAGCAAGGACTTGTTGGGACTATGTGTGTCTGCATGTATCTTTCTGTGTATATGTAAAATGTACACACATGCATACATCTACAAACACACACATATATAAACACATATGTGCTTGTATGCATGTAATATAAGTTTGTGCATGCATGTATGTGTCTGTGAGGAAAAAGATGCATGTGTGCACGTGTTTGCGCACGTGCGTGCGCGCGCACACACACACACACACACTCTTAGGCTGACACTACATACCTCAATCCCCTCAATTTCTTCAATGAACCTCCTGCTGACTGAGACTAGAGCCTCCTTCGGCCATGCGTGAAACCAGTCAATAGCTGTGCAGTTCACAAGGGCTGGGAATTTCCTGGCTCTCACTCTGAGTGTATGACCCACTGGAGAGAAGCATAGAATGACCTGTGGAGACACAAGGGGAGGCGAGGGCAGGGAAGAAACAGGAGGGCAATATATGAGCTAGGAATGACACCACTGTGGGTATACGATGAGAGTCCCTGGCATTTACTCTCCCCACATACTACACAGTGGAGAACCACCACAAGGTCCTTGTAAGCAAACTACAAACCTGCCCAGAGTAGCTGTTCCCTGTGGTGTCCCCTGCTTTGAGGCATGGCTAAAAGACATGCTATTTGTGTCCATAATGCAAGCGTTAACAATAACACATCAAAATAATTCACCAGTAATACCAAGGTTTTCACCTTCCTTTTCCTTCTATTCTGTAATTTGTCAGGTTCCATAAAAGTGTGTAATACCTTTTTAAAAAGAATGTCTGATCATAGTGAATGTTTGTTTCCCTGTAAAATAAAACACATCTGCTTGAGTTTTCACCTGGATTTTTAAGGAACTAGAAAAAAAATCAGCTTAAACATGCCCTTACTGAGCAAGCATCAAGTTTTGGATGTCAATCTGAAAAGTTTCTTTTGTAATTATTTAATGATTAAATGAATTCAAACTTGAACAAGTTATCTGTATCTGGTACAGTAGGGTCTGGTTCCAGATGCCCCAAAGATAACAAACTTGAGGTTGTTTGACTCATATATAAAGAGTATAGTATTTGCACAAAATCTGCGTATTTCCTCTTATATCCTTAAATCCTATCTCTAGATAACCTGTTATTCCTAATACAATTTAAATGTTATGTAAATAGTCATTACACTGTTGTCTAGGGAATCGTAATAGGAACAAAAGTCTGTGTCTATTCACAGCTTTTTCAAATGTTTTTGATCTCTGGTTGGTTAAATCCATGCACAAGGAACCCACAGCTTCCTTTCCAGATCCTATGCCCCTGACTGCCCTGGGGAGATGTGTCAGTTGCAGAAAAAGGTCTGAGGGAAGAGCACCAGTTTCTTCTTCTCTAGAAATGGCTCCAACTTAATGATGTAAAACAAAACAAGGCTTTTGCTTACTTGGCTCACTTGCACAGCTTGTGTTCTACCACTTGAGCCATGCCTTTAGCCCAGCTGTTTTTGGCTAGCTCATTGGAGACAAGAGTCTGTAGGAACTTTCTAAACTGGCTTTAAACCTGCTCCTCCAGATCTCAGCCTCCTGAGCAGGATCACAGGCATGAGCCATCTGACACTTGGCTCTGTACCTTTCAATAGCAACAACCATTCTCCATTTCTTCCTTTTCTAAGATTCTCAAATCTAGACACCAGGCAATGAATGATATCTGGAAAGGATAAGTTTTACCAATAATTCTTTTTTTTTTAATGCACATCGGTAAACTCCAGCATGTCTACCCATTAGTATGTTCAACAGGTGTATTTTATATACCACCTATAGCTTTATGTTATATACCATGCATATAACATCCTAAGATTTACAATATTTTTCTTAATACCAAGACTTAAACCCAGGGGTATGTGCTTGCTTAGCATGCTTGTACAGCTGGTGCTCTACTACTTGAGCCATGCATGCCTTTAGCCCAGCTGTTTTGTGGCTGGTTAACTGGAGATGTAGTCTCTAGGAATTTTCTGCCTGAACTGGCTTTGAATCCAGTCCTCCAGATCTCAGCCTCAGCTAGAATCACAGGCATGGGCTACTGGACACTTGGCTCTCTACCTTTTAATAGCAGCAGACATTCTCCATTTTTTACTTTTCTCAATCCCCAGGAAAACATTATTCTTGTCTTTTTCTGTAAGTTTAACTATTGTAGATATCATCTCATGCAAGTGATATCATGCAATATTGGTTGCTTGGGAATGAGTTTATGTCACTTAGCATGATGTTGCCAAGTTTCATCCATTGCTATTGCAAGTGACAAGAGTACCTCCTTTCCCAGGCTGAACTACATTTTCTGTGCACGAAGACAGAATTGAGGTTACTTCCATATCTTGCTGTGGTGATCAGTGCTGCAGAGAGCATACAAGCAAGCACAGCCCTCAAGACCCTGACTGCATTTTCCTTTGGACACACACACACGCACGCATGCACGCACGCACACACGCACGCACGCACGCACGCACACACGCACACACGCACACACACACACACACAGCAGAGGGATGGCTGGGTCATATAGTCATTCTCTTTTTATTTTTTTTGAGAATTATTTTTTCAAATCGGTTGTATGCTTTCACATTCTTTCCAATTGTGTACAAGGGTTTAAAAACTGTACTGGCTTATCAATAAATTCCAGGAAATGTAAACAAGAGGCTTTTTTCTTTCTCATTCTGCTTATGTTGCTGGTTTTGTTTTCTTTTGCTTTGGTCTTGTTTATATGTCTTTGGGAGGGCAAGGGGGGAAACAGAAATAGAAGGACAAAGGGGTGAACAAATACAGCAATGGTACTCATTAGACACAATGTTGAAACTGAACTGGAGACAGAAGGGAAAATCTGAAAGCAAGCACGGGAAAGGGTGGCATTGTAAAAAAGAAATATACTCATTACTTGACTTATGAACTGTAACCCCTCTGTACATCATCTTTATAATAACAATTTTTTTAAACACCATAGTGGCAAATCATACAGATGTGAGGTACATCTGTATGTGACCTCATGGTGTTTTCCCCTGACAATTAGCCATGCTGAGTATTTTTGTTTACATATTCTTCTCTTCAGACAAATTCTTTCATCCACTTTTTAATTGGGTTGTTTCTCACTATTAAGGCATAGGAGTTTCTTCCAAAATGTAGGTATTAACCCTTCATTCTATGTATGGTTTCAAATATTTCCTCCAATTCTATAGTGTGAATTTTCACTCTGTTTTTTTTTTTTTGTCCTGGGGCTTGAACTTGGAGCCAGGGTGCTGAGTTTTATTGCTCAAAGCTGATCCTCTACCACTGGAATCACAGCTCCACTTCTAGCTTTTTGGTGGTTAATTTGACAGAAGAGTTTCATGGACTTTTCTGCTTGGGCTGGCTTCAAACCACGATCCTCCTGAGTAGTTAGGATTATAAATGTGAGCCATTGGTGACTGGCATCTTTTACTGTGCAGAAGCTTTTAGTTTAGTGGAATTCCACTTGTCTATTTTTTCTCGTTTCCTGTACATTTGATAAGTCATAACCAAGCAATCATTGTCAAGGCCAATGTCAGGAACATTTCTCTACATTTTCTTCTAGGAGTTTTAGGTCTTAGGTTTGGGCATTTTTTTTACATTTTTGCTTTTCATTTTTTTTACATGTTCAAATGTCTTAATGATATATTAGTGGTGATTATTCATAGTAAGATTCTAGTTACAAGTTGAAAATTCCTTCTAATATGGTCTGCATTAAAGTTAAGGAATCTCTGTTACAAGGCATAATTTTCAGCTATACTCCAGTCTTAGTTTTCTCTTGCCAGCCTCTTTTCTCCCACACGTGAGAGTATTTCTCTTTTCTTTCCCCAAAGCTAGTTTTCTACACCAAACTCATCTTTTATTCATGCCAATTTTAGAAACCTGATGTACCCATAATGACAGCACTGCAGAGGAAACAAACTCATTCTGTATTTCAGATTCCCACCATTTCTGTGACTTTTCCATTTAATCGGTTTCAATCTTTAGACTTGTCCTCGCATCAGATCTTGTGATCTGATTAGATCACAATTGCTTAATCTCTGTTTAGAGAGTGATGTGTGGACCACATTTGCTTATTCTCAGGAAAAAGTGCTTTCCCTGCAGTACTGTACTGGTAGGCCTTCATTATTATTGAAAAATAATATACAAAGTCATTCAAGGAATCACTTTTCTTTTTTTCCCACAATGGAAGATCTTTTCTTCTATGTTATTTGCTTAAATAAAGATCTCCATAATCTACTTAGATTTCACATTGTTTCAGTAGGGAAGGGGCATTCATCAGGGATAACAATCATAAAGAATAGCCTGGGCACTCAACAGACATTTCTGTAAATTCGTGGAGCTTCTCCAGACCTAAGAAATCAGAAACTATGTGGACAGTACTCAGCTGTCTGAATTTTCAACCTCCCCCTCCCCCCACCTCGCCAAGGCTTTGACAACCACAATGGTGCCATAATTGTCATTTGCCATGGGATACTTGACTAAAATATTCACATTTGTGTGTATGGGGGGAGGATATATTTGCAGTTGGTGTGATGCTCAGGGAATCTAGGTCTCTGTCTACATAAATTAAAGGTGATTTAAAGCAGATGAAAGAATAAAAAAATTATCATCAAAATAGAACTGGAAATTAAATTATAGCAATTTTGTATGTATTTCTTAGTAGTTTCTGAGAAGCTACTAGCACTAGGTATAAAATGAGTAACCTAACATATTCTCCAACAACTTCTGCTTTACTAGAAAGAGTATAGAATTCTGCTTTCCTTGATAGCAGTCTTCTGTGAGATTTTCTCAGAAGCCCTGCTAATGTCTAGAACCACTGGTTAGTCTGTTTTACTCCACATTAGTCTACACAGGGCAGAGCACAGTGGCTTACGCCTGTAATATCACTTACTTGAGAGGTGGAAATGGGAGGATTATAATTCGATGCCAGACTGGGCAAAAGCAAAAAGCAAAAAAACCAAAATCCCCCAAGTTCGGCGTGGCGATCATCCTTTCATCACAGCTATGTGGAGGCCTGGTAAGAGGACTGTGGTGTGAGGCTGGTGCGGGCTTGACAGAGGTATTAGGTTGTCTATAATTTATTTTCAAATTACCTCAGGCTATGACGACATGTATGTGAATGTCCATTTCCTTCATTAATATGAAAAGTTTGCTGACAGGGGCTTTGTAGGCTGGGGGGTAGGGTGAGGCCGAGCTGCATTAATAGATGTACATGGAAGACCACACTGTAGATTCAACTCCCAGGAACTCTTAGCTGACTTCATAGTCAATAAATGGTTGGCTAGGCAGCATTATGGATGTTACATGTGGTTCTTCCCATGGATATCTGAGGTAAAACAGAACGTATGCATACACCCCACCAATGTCTGAACTAAATAAGATGGAGGAGGTGGGCACTG